TTTATCTTTTTCTATATTTTTCAATTATTAATAAAGCTATTTTGAGGTTTTGTGTATTTTTACTTTGTCGCGAAATGAGAACTGAAGTATTTGAATGAGAAATATATCTCTAACGAAATTCGAGGAATTAAGTTTAAATGAAATGCAGCAAAATGTGCGTATAATTTAATATTCCGTACAAGGAAGTCATGTGATGTACACTTAGATTTTTTTCTCTTAATATGAAAGCAATTCCGTTTAAATTTATGTCAAAAGTGTAAATTTATGTTTAGTTTTTTTATTAACTCTTACGTGTGAAAATCGTATCAAATAAATACATGTGTATTACACATATGTATCTACATTTGTATGTACTATAATTTCAGTGAAGTTTTCAAAAACAATTATTGCTTGAAATGAAATTCTTTTCTATTACAATTAACTTACCATGCTATTGAAAATTTTATGTTATACATTAATATTAGCTTTCTTTTAAAATGGATTTCTGAATTATGTTAACTCTAAAATAACCATTTTAAAATATTTTTTTAAAAGAAATGGTTATACTCTTCTCAAAGATATCAAGAATTATGTGAAATACTATAGTTTTATATTTGATCTATATTAAACGATTTAAATATTAGTAAACTGGCCAAAAGCAGTTTTTAAACTGTTTTATTATTTCTCAAGTACAGAAAAACAGAAAATTGTGTTTAGAAGCCTTAGCTCAGAAATTTAAAATTACATTTCACGTAGGTCATATGTGTCCATTTTTAACAACATGCTATAATTATAAAGGGTTCAGTGTGCATTTAGAAGTTGTATCATAACACTTAAGGCTAAAAATATATAGAAAATGGACATATATATACTTTATACTATAATAACGATTCATGCAAGGCAAAATAATAATTTATAAACATTTGCATTATACGTGCATTGTGAGAGAAAAGTAGAATATTAATATATTATGTTAAATTCAACCCGTAAAATGGAAAATAATTTTCCGTTAAGGTATTTGATACAAGATATATAAACAGGCACAAATTATCTTTACCCGATTATTAAATATCATAGTTTATAAGTGAACAGCAATTTTTTATAGAAATCAGTATCATGTTAAAAATGCATAAAGATATTTTAATGTTTATTCTTTCTTTATTGAATAATTTATTACTGTAACGAAAAACAGAGAAAGCAAAAAATTAATAAAACCATCATTTACTTTCCTAATGACTCCGAATAATGGAAAATTAGAAAAAAAATGTAAAAATCAACAAGCTATATCTGAATTTTGAAAGACTATTCGACTAATATATATGCATATATATATGAATTTATTTATTATATATAATAAATAACAGATACTGAGTTTGATTCCGTTGGTACTACAAATTTAACAGGGAGACTTATTCCATAAATTATTTTATTTTATAAAATGTCTCGTTAGAATAAGCAGGAAGCTAGGATAATATCTTTATCACTTAGCAAATTTATAACAATTTGGTCTGAAACCTTTTTGTTAGAGTATTTACAATAATGTTCTTTCTGAGGGAAAAAAGCTGAATTTAAAAACTGAGGTGAAAAAAAGATAATATTATTTTTTTATTTTTATAAAATTTATATTCTGCAAAACTGCCTTTCGAAACCACTAATTTCATTTCTGAATATTTTGAAATTTTTTTAATTGTTACAAGAGAATCATTTAGATAAAATGCATTCTTTAAAAATAAGTGTTTTATTTTTAATACTGTTTCAAACAATTACTACTTCAACGCTAATCTAAAGTATTATAGTTTTTATTTTACAATACACTCAAGTTTGAAAAATGCTTTATAACTTTAAGCTTTAATTAACGTTTCCAATTTCAGAAATTTATATTTGAAGGTAATTTTTTTTTTATTTTTGTAATAGAAAATTGAGCATTTATAAAATTTAATACTTATATACACATGAAAGTTCACTGATATAAATCATAAAATCTGAATGCATTATAAATCACCGCTTGAAAATTACACTTCTTTCACTGTTAAGCATCCTGTTTCATAAAATTTCAGAAAGACTACCTTCTTAAATCATTAATAAAATGAAAACATTTAGAATGGAAAAAAAAATTAAAACATTCTCTTTATCTGAAATAGAAGTTTTTCCTGAAACGTATGCAAATGTCAAACTGATTTTATTCTTCAGTTCATTAGCTACATAAAGATGTGAATTATCAGAATCATAAACATGAAAAGTCCAATCGCAGGGTACCATATTTACATTCTATATAGCTTTTCATATTTAAGAAATTTTTAAAGAGATCACTAAACAAAGAACATCTTTAAAGAATGCTTTAAAATTTCATATCTTAACATTCGAATGAATAACATTCAACTTCTAAATTTATTTATTGCATATTTTGAACTACAAAGTTTTTTAAGAATATGCAATTAATTTTTAAAGCTAGAGTAAAAACATTTTTATAAAATCCTTGAATTAGATAAAAACATTTCAGAATTACTGTACGTAAGGCTATAGCTTCTAAAGCATTACAATTATCTTAATTTCGAAAATGGAAGCAAATATGCACGTATGCATAATTTAAGCATACTTACACAATATTTATAATTTTTATACCCAAATAAAACTTTGAAGCTTATAAATAAACTAACTTTACAATTTACATTACCTCTAAAAATTTTAATTATGTTCTTTTCACAAAAGTGTTAGCATTTAATGTTTGAAAAACAATTGTAATCATTTCAAACAATATACACTGCGGTAAAAAAAAGGACAGTTCTATATTTCCCTTTATACTGGGCCGATTGACGAAATTCAACATTTTCGTGTCTCGAAAGCGCGACTTAGGATATGTATTACATTTTTATATAGCATTGTTCTAATACAGGTATTTTGACGCAAAATCGGACTTTCCTGAAATGACATGCCAATGTTTTCCATATTTCGATTGTACGGCTTAAATTATGGCTAAATGGTAAATTTTGTAATATTTGGTGGGAAACTTACGGAGAAATTCAAAAATTTATCTTGGCGCATCTTTTTAGTTTGCGCTAAGAATAATTCACTTGGTGAACTTCTTAATTTAAAGCAACCTATTTTCTTTTCCCTTTTTTTTCACTGTACACGAGCGGAAAAAATGTCATCGTTCCTACTTTCAAATAATATTAACAAAGTGCGTAAATCACATTGGAGTTATTATCACTTATAACAAATATGCCAAATTTCAAAACACGGCAATATATAAATTCACGTATATCTTACGAAATTTTGAATAAAAAAAACTCTAATTTTTTGCAAGTATGCTTAGAAATACATCTACATTAAGAGGATGGTAAAACTTTTATAGGTTATAATTCAAATTTGTTTTCGAAAAATTTATAAAAATTATTTAGAAGTGCAAATTTTAAAAATAGATCATACAAATGGGTAAGTTCTATTTGGACTTACCCATTCCTTTTCTTCATTGTCTACGAGCGGGAAAAAAGTCATCATTTATACTTTCAAATAATTTTAAAAAGTGCGTAAAAAACATTATCATTATTACCGCTTATATTAAATACAACAAATGTAGATTCACATATATCTTAGGAAATTTTGAATAAAAAACTAATTTTTTTGCAGGTATTCTTAGAAATACATCTACTTTACATTGATGACAAAACTTTTACAGGTTACAATTCAAAATTTTGTTTTTGAAAAATTTATAAAAATTATTTAAAAATACAAATTTAAAAAATAAATCATAAAACATGGGCGAATGGTATTTGGAAGGAACCTAAATTTCGAAAAGTGAAAAGAAGAATCAAATAAGTTTAATAAAAGATATATTAATAAATACATATCAAATTCAGTTAACATGGAGGAGGTAAAATTTTGAGACCTAAATTTTAAAAAACTACTCGTGCGGTTTTTACAAAATTTGGCAGTTTGACATAAGAGCCATAGAATCCAAGTAAGGAAAACAATTGGCATGTCATTTCAGAAGTCCGATTTTGTGTCAAAATACCTATCTTAGAACAATGCTATATATAAATCTAATACATATCCTAAGTCGCGCTTTCGAGACACGAAAAACGTAAGTTGAATTTCGTCAATCGGCCCAGTAGAACGGGAGATATAGAACTGTCCCTTTTTTTGGCACAGTGTACAATATATTTCATCTTTCGATAAATGCAGATTGATTTCAATGCAGAAAAATCTTGATGAGTATAATAACCATTACGAATTTTGCTAAGTATTAAACGTTTCTAGTTATCTAACTCCTTTGCAATCAATAATCAACACAATAACTATCTATCTTTCCCTTAAATCATAAGTTATTTAACATAAGTAGTAAAGCTCATTATTTAGTAAATCGCTAACATTTCATAACACAGCTGATTTTGCTTTCAACATTACACAACATCTTAGTTTTCTGATTCCTGTATCACCAATAGACCACAGAAACATATAGCTATTCATTACAGCAAGAAATTCAAAGACACAGGTGAGAAACAGAAACTTACTTTTATAAGATCGCCGTTTCAAAATTGAAGCTTTCATTAGAACACATAAAAGCCATTACGTAGGAGAACGTTTCTGAAAACACGCAATAAGGTGAAATGGTCTGTTACCAGAGCAATCAACAACTTCACTTCCAGTCCAACAAAGCTCATATTTGATTTAAAGAGAATTGCAGAACTTCAGAGTGAAAGATAATAAAGAGAACTATTGAGGTAGTGTAGAGATATTAGGTATTTTTTGGAAGCAAGCAAGGTGAAAAATGAATGAATTGCCTTGGCCAGGAATCAAACCATGGACCTCTGGAATACCGGCCAAGCGTGCAGAACCACTACACCACGAACGCACGCTAAGAAGGTGGGAGAAATACATTATATACTCCCTCTTTTAAAGGGCGACTGGTGTTTTTAGGGGACCCATTCGCCAAATTTTGGGTGTGGAGAGTCATCATCCCTTTTAGTTCAGGCGCTACTGTAGAGACATTAGGTATTTTTTGGAAGCAAGTAAGGTGAAAAATGAGCAATCGCCTTCGACGGGAATTGAACCACGGACCTCTGGAATACCGGCCCAGCGTGCAGAACCACTACACCATGCAGTCACGCTAAGAAGGCGGGAGAAATACCTTATAGGAGGAACGATAAATAGGCTTAAACCTTGAAGTTCCTTGGAATATAAACAAGAGTACTTGTAAAGGACTTAACTGATATTAAACCAACAAAGTACGTCGTATATTTTTGGAACTCAACCAACAAGCTTGCAGCAAGCTTCAAATATATGCATTGTTTTTCTAATAAAAACAAATCACAAATGAGGGTGACTATGCTTTTCTGCTAGCTATGACATCCTGAAATATAAGCCTAGATAACATAAGCACACATTTTGTTACGTACTGAAATAGCATCATGGCGTGAGTGAATTTTTCAGTGGGGACTGAATTAAGGAGTTTTGACGAAAAGCAAAGAATTTCTCATTCAGCTTTTTAATATTTGTTCGAATCCCTTCATAAAAGGAACAAAATATTTGTTATATATGTAAATGTTACAGAATTTATAGTGATGCCTACTCAAGAAACGTTTACTCAGTAGATAACACGTATGCTTTTATTAACATGTCCACTTGATTTTGCAATGGGTGTTCAAAAAATGTCAATACGTTTGTAAGCTTTATCCTAAGTTTCTAGCAGTTAATTTTAGTTAAAGATACTTTCCTGTCCTTCCTAATTTCAGCCTAATAATTCCTAATAAGATATTTCAGCTTAGGATTTCCTACCAGAATATGTTTTTAGAATCGCGTTTAATGCAAATGAGTAGTCGAAGTTTCACTGACTTCGGGAGAGAGTCTCAGACTTTCTGACTAGCGCGCGTTTGTCTTTTGGCTAAGTCTCTCTAAGTTGTTACTGTGCTCGGTCGTATTACAGGCCCTTCATAGCTTCGCTAGCTTATTCGATATTTAAGGGCCAATCACTTAGAATTTTGATAGCTTTATCTATATCTCTTTAGTTATGTCTTATCCTTATTATTTTGAGTTCAAGCCAAGTGGAGGCTTTGCTATACGGCCTGAGAAAGGGGCTTTCTGCGAAACTCTTATTTTGAACAATAAAAGATAATTAACTCTTCTGGAGTTTACGCCTCTATTACTGAACTAAAGCGATTATTCCCTTAGCTGTTCATTAGGTTCTTCCACATCCAGTTGTTAGATAAAAGGGTGGAACCCCACACGTTTATATTAAAAGTTTTCTGTTATACTAAGCATTGAAATATTTTAATTTAATTCTAAATTTAAATAAAGTTTAATATATGTAAAGCCATTTTATAAGTCACCAAAAAGTACATAAAGTTTTGATAAAGCTGCTTGATTTCTTTTCCAATGGCATTTCTTTTCCCATGGATTTTTACAAAAGCAAAGGAGTCAGGAATTCTATACTTATCTGCAGGTGATACGTTTGTCTCCAGTACAAACAAATGTTTCAGAAATGTGTGGACAAATGCTCTGGAAAATCATCTTAAACATTACCAAACTAAGCAAAAAAAAAAAAAAAACTGCATATTTACTAAATTTTCGTAATATTAATTTATGATATGCTTGCTGTAGAAATACCATTAATTATATTAGTTGAACTATTACCTTTTCTAAAATTTTGAGATGACTGCAAAATGTCTTTGAACTACTTTCCACAAATTTGTACTTCATTCATTTATTTTAATATGAGTAATAAGGTTCTGAAATTTGCATTAAAAATTGAAAATAAAAGTAGTATTCTATTAAGTATTAACTCTTTTGCAATTTTGAAAATAAAGCATATAATTAAAAAGAAATACTTGTTTAAGTAAAAGTAATTGTATTCTGAGCTCCTTTTTAAACAGCTACTTCCAAAAATCTTTCACTGCATTTAAAGATAGTTTTAAGTTTGTGTTCGAGCGTATAGGTATTGAACAATGAGAAACACTGAATACAACAGCTGAGATCTTACACGGCCACAATCCGGATACATTTACGTGAGCGAGTGTGCTTAGGTCATTAAAGTGGAACTTTTTCCAACGTGTGAAATCAGACAAAACATAAAACTCAATGGCTGTCACGTTTAAAGCATGAGTCTGGATTTATCAGTAGCTTCAGTCAGAAGCAGCCTGAAGCCTGGAGGGCAAAAACTGGCTCAGAAAATCGATAGGCAGCGGAAAGATAATGGTGGAATTCTTTTCTGCCGAGATGGTATTCAATGTCTGGAGATAGCGAAGCTGGAGAGCAGCTGGGGATTGGGCAATTACTTCAGCGGCTTCCTTCAAGGCTCGGGAAGCTTTTTGTTCTCCTTCTGCAGCAATAACCTAAAAGAAGAACGAAAAAAAATAAGGTGTAAAAATGTAAAATGAGATCTAAAAAGGTAACAAACAAATTCGAACACATTTGCTTCAGAAAGTATTTCAAAACAATTCCATTTTAATTAATTAATCTCTGTTGTAGCCATATTTGAACATGTTATTCCAATATAAAAAGTAATCTAACTCACTATTAAAATTCTATTGTATAGGTTGCCCAAAATCTTTTATTAGGTTAGGTTATTTAAAAGCACGCGAAGGCTACCTGCCTAAGAGGACAGATGCCTCCATGGAAGGCTTTCTAAGGGTAAGCAGCTCGTTCACGTTACACACAGGGAAAACCACGAGAAACAGCAACGCAGCCAGCTGACGGGAGACAGAGACACCATCATTGTACCAAGAGGTTAGGTGGTATTGTCTCGCGTCCATCGCAATCATCCGACAGTACACCTCATTTCTTTCTGTGCCCCATAAAAAATAGAGCGGCAGTGGCAGTCGGATACAACTTTGGGAATGGGTTCAGGAGATGGTTAGATGTGAATCGGGATTTATGGGTAGCATTGTTTGGTTGGATGAAACACAATTTAATCTCAATGGAACTGTCAATAGGCTTCATTATGTGTACTGGGTTGAAGATAATCCCCACATTACTATTAAAACGGCTGTAAATTTGAAATGTGTGTTGTAGTTTATCTCCTAATGTACTCATTGGACCTTTCCATTTTAAAAGTACTATAAGTGGATGAAAGCACCTAGCAGTGCTTTCTGATTCCATTTTCTATGCCATTTTGCAATGTATGGCAATGACAAGTTCAATTACCAATAAGATTACGCCCTTCCTCCCTATCATAGGAATGTGCGAGCATACCTGGATCAAAATAAATCATGTCAAAGGATAGGTCGCAGGGGACCAATTATGCAGGGCTAAGTTTCCTGCACGATCTCCAGACCTTACGTTACTCAATTTTGTTTTTATGTGGCACAGTAAAAGATGAGGTAAATCACGTATCCTTGACACCCTTTGGGATAAGATTCAAGCGGTGTGCGCTGAAATCCCAACGGACACTTTTTAATCACTTTTTAATCACGGAATCAGTGGTGAGTCTTACTCAGAAATGTTTCGAAGCTGAAGGCCATCATTTTGAACATTTGCTTTAAACACCATTTGGTCATTCCGTTTCATTATAAGACTCATTTTCACGATTTGGAACATCCAGTTTCACCACTTGGAATATCAGTTTCGCCACACTTATTTTTCGCAAAACTTTAACCTTGTGGGTTGGAAAATAAATTTTCTATGACAGTTCAAAGTGTGTCTACATTTCTCTGACGCACCTGTATTAGGCAATAGTTACACCCTAAATGGAAAGTAACATTATAAGGTATTTCTCCCGCCTTTCTAGCGTGCCTTCGTCGTGTAGTGGTCAGCACACTGAGCCGGTATTTCAGAGGTCCGTGGTTCGATTCTCGGCGAAGGAGTTTGCTAATTTTTCATCTCTCCGGCTTTTCCAATTAACCTAATGTCTCTACAACATGGCTGAAAGAGGAAAACTGAGTAACTGATACTCTGGCATAGTTACAAGGCAAAATGGGAATCCAATCTCTCCAATACATAGCTTGACACTAATTTATTCTAACATATATATATTATTTTTACGTTCATTTAAGAAACATCCCATGTTAATGTGTTTTATGGTCTTTTGCGAGAAACGAAAAGAAATAACGTGAATTTTTAGTAGCCAAACAACAAAAATGTTGCCATACTTTACGCTGTCAGATCCATAGAACTCATATCTCTGTCCTAGTACACTACAGCCCTAAAATCTCCTAACAATTTAGCGTCTAAAACTCCATGCGGCTAACAATCCGGATTGAGACCGACTTCAGAGTAAGGCAATACCCAAACAAAACCGACTCTAAGCAAAGAAGATTTAAATATTTAATTTATAATCTTCTTTCATTAGTGTATGAAGCGTGTTATGTTATGTGAGCAGAAAGAATGCAAATATAGAAATATAAAATTTGAACAAAATGCAGAATTAGAATAATGTACTAAATAGCAACGCCAAAACTGTTTCAAAAAATCTACAGAAATATTTAACAAAAATCTATATAGCGTGTTTATAAGAGTCTGCGTGAGCACTAAAGCGTCTGCTACTTTAGGAGTGACTTCTACGAGTACAGTTCACGCAAATTTTGTAATAATTAGTTTACTCAGCCAAATGTGCATTATCGATATATTTACTTTATATTGTTTTTAGAATCAACAAACGATTCACGTACATTTGTACATTTTATAAAATGCGGTTTAGGGAATAGTTACCTTTTGGGAATAGTACTTAACTCGTAAAACTGCTAAAAACTGTCACACTCAAATGAAAAAATAATACTTGACTTTTTTATTGCTAATGCGACAACAATAACGTCTTTTCTTGAAATAAAAATTCGAGCTTATAACAAACTAACCCTTACATGCTAGCAATTGTTATATAAATAACGCTCTAATATCACATCTTAAAGAACTCTTAATATCGTACAGCGAAATTTTAGAATTAAAAATCTTTCGACTACAAATTTATATCGAAAGTTCTTAGACTTGAAATAAAAAATCTGATTATATTTACCCTTAAATTATTCCGAAAGATATTCGGTTTTTATATTGTTCTATATCCCCAACAAGATAGACAACTGAAGTGTAAAAATACAAATGGCAATCTAATATATGCACGTGGAGTTTTCCGCAGTGCAGATATTAGTTGACTCACCAATAATCTCAGTAAATGCAAAATGAGGATCTTTACACAAGTAGGAACCCTTCACAAGCTGAACAGTAGTCATCTTGCTCGCTGGGACTGTTGCTTCATGGGTTAATGTCAAACCTGTATACCATTACCTGTAAACCTGTAAACCATTGGCATGAACAGCTGGTATCACGACTTATTAGCTATACTGAACCGTTAAGTACCCACCAGTTTCGAGCAGTGTTGCACCAGTTTAATGGATGCCCATTAGCAATGTGCTTTTAGCCAGAAAAAGGTGTCTAACTCAGTTGGCTTTTATCAGTATGGAAATTTGGACTGATCATCGGCTGTTTCACTTCACTGGTATTCGTATCGATTACCAAATCATTGCGTATTAAATTATCCCACTTGTGCTCTAGAGTACAAGTGGGATAATTTAATACGCAATTGAGTGTAATGCACGCAGTGTAATGCACAGAGTTAACATGTTAATGCCTCCATCAAGAGCTCTTTGCTTACACTTCATGAGAAATTCATTTCAAAACCCATTGCTTATCCATCAGAATAAGCTAGCCTAATATAAAAAAGTTTGAATTTTTCGTTTGCTGATATTTGTATGAACATGAGCATTTACGAAGATGGTCAATTGTTGCAACGCGTTGCTAACATCTGTGTTCTCAGATCAGATTAAGCAACGGGAGGTGGCCAATTGTTGCAGCGCGTTGCTAACATCTGTGTTCTCAGATCAGATTAAGCAACGGGAGTTACAACGAAGGTACTTGAATTTTTTTCCCCACATCAAACTTCATTTGGTTGCAGTTTTTCTGAAATTTTGTGTAGTCTCGAAGTTCCTCAAGAAGTGGTTTTACAGCTAACAAAGCAGTGAGCAAATTTTCTTAAGGCATGCTAATCCATTTCTTTGTTTAAGTTTCACAAAATATCAATTAAGACGGATATAATGTTGAAAACATAAGAATACATTTTAAAATGTTTGTTTAAACTAAAAACTGTAACTTGCGCATCTTACTCTTATCTTACAAAAGACTGATTAATATTAGGTTGGTGAAAATTTATGTCCCTTTCTGAATCCGGTGAAAGATTTTTTTACTGGAATTTTCTCAAGATTCATTTTGTAGGGATACAAAAATTGAAGGTATGAAGCTACACGAAACACATCCTTTAGGCATGCTCCTTTGGCTAAGTTTTCTGATTATGGTTGTTTACTCTAAAGATATGCGTTTAATGATCCAAACCGAATCGTAACATTAACAATTGCAACCCCGAAAGTACTATGTATATAATATAAGTAAAAGCTAAAGATTCCCACAGTTCCATTCAGGACGGCACTTCAGCTTCGAATAGTGCTTAGCCACATAGGCCGAAGAGTTGACATTATTAAAGGAATACGTTTTCAGCCAATGAGAAATTTACACAATATTAAAATAAAATTTTACATAGTTTTTATAGCTACATTTACATTCGTGGGTAGTGTATAGCAATCATTCGTCGATGTTCAAATTACTTCTTGCAATAAAACATGTACAGCTTTGAAAATTACAGAGGGTGTAACAGAACTGATATTCGCACTTTTAAGAAGCAATAAAACATGCAAAAGTAACATGTTTTCGTCCCATAATGGGTATTGGAGTGCGAAATGAGAATAATGTATTGAATGCAAAGTGTATATGTGCGCGATTTGCAAGTCACTGTGTGTATGTGCGCGATTTGCAAGTCATGTGTAGTGGAAGCACAGTGAGTATGAAGAATATGGAAAACGAAAAGACGTTTTAATCATGGATATTTACAAGAACTAATATTTGATAGTTCCAAGAATTGTTTAAACGAACGGGCATTAATTGCAACGCATGCCTGACAACGGGTTCGTTACGATTTAGAAAATGACTAACATGCCGCGTGCTTTTACAAGAGCAATGTTAATTCTGGCTACAAGATCTTCAGAAAAGTCATTCTGCTTCTCATAAATGAAGATCCGTTGTCAGCAAATATGATAGACCAGCTGTCATATTTTAGCTCTCGGGAAGCAAGCTACAGCAGTGGTGGTATATGTATCTGAACACAGAGCAAGGAAGTTTTCCTTCAGATGTCTTACCGCTGCATTGATACTTCGCAGGATTTCTACTATCAAAATTACTAGAAGTTATATTTGAAGAGTAGGGTCTCTGTGTCAACATGAACGATATATCAATAAAATCCGAACTGCTTTTACTACAAGTCCACCAACACAAATAAAACTTTTCCATGGGATTTACGGGAGCAATCTGCCAAGCATTAAGATAACCACCAATCTAACGTTTGAGCAATCACAGCATATGGCTAACAAACATGTTGAAATATGTCTATAGCATGGAATTATTCTATTCTCTAAGATAAGGTGCAAGGTGAATTACTAGAAGTTTGAAGAGATTTGCGTTAAATAGTTTTCTTTATATTCTGTGTAGTCTAGATCTTATCATATTGCCACACTTTCAGGTGGCTAAGTTGTACTATTTAGAAACAGTTAGTCAACAGTGATACAAAGGGGATTACATAGTTAGCGGATTTCTTCACTTCTAAAGCAGTATTGGTAGTTCCGGATCTGGGAACGATTCCAGGTAAACGGGCTGGCTGTATGCGCCGTTTTGTGGTTTTCCCATGTGTAACGTGGATAAGAGAAAATGTCCCTTAAAAATTCCACCACGATATGGCATCTCTCCCCTTAGGTAGATAGTCGTATTGCGCTTTGATATATTAAGGAGTGTTGGAAGAGGAACAATCTTAAAAAAATAGTGATTTGGGATTTTTGCATTTTCAAATTCTCTTCACTTTTAGCTCTCTAAAATACCATGCAGTAATCACTATGAAAATTATAGTTGTAAAAATTCTAGTTTTAATTTATCATCGAATGCTCTCATAAATGAGGACTTTTACATAAAAATGCGGTTTTCTCCAAATGTGTTTTTTATACTCGATGTACCTTTTCTCAGGAACTACTGCTCACAGGTATGTACATTTTTTATGGCTTATTTATTATGTTTCCTAATAGTTATTGAAATGTGCTTTTGTGATAAACTAAGGAAAAAATTCACAATATTTTTCTGAGAAAAGTGATAAATTTTCTATAAATTACTCTAAAACTCAAAAAGGATTCAAAAGCTCATTTCAGTATAATCAAATAGATAAATCAATTTCAGTATAAAGATAGGTGTACTTTAATTACACAAAAAATTTCAAACGTGTATGTATAGCAGATTTTGAGAAAGATACGTCGAAAATGGCCATTTTAACATTGTTTGTATAGAGAATTCCGACTCCCCTTAAATAAAATCAAGCGTCTAGAGAAGATTTGTTCTGCCGAAGTTAGTTCCGTAAATTTCCTGAACGTTAGCAAAAATTCATCCGTGCTGATTCATCGCTTAAATTTTGCGAAGATAAGTTTCACTTTTACGCAATATAGATATTTATCATACGCTCCTGAAATAGTCAGAACGTTCCTCATTAGCCTGTACATATACAATTATACAGCTGGCCCAAAGTAGGATTTCCCTTCTTTCAGAAACTGAATTTGCCCGAATGGGATAGGAATTATTATTCACAGTTGTATAATAGCAAAAGATTTTATCATGGAATGTAAAATTTTCTGAACAAACGTCGACGGTACTTTACATCATGGAAAGAAATATAAATATTTTATTCACATTTTTGAAATCGTACAAATTTATGTTAGAGAGATTTGATATGCAGTATGATTATGAAATATAGCTTTTTAAAAACAAAATCTTTAAAACGTTATAACGTATTTTTTGAATGTCTTCGTGGTATAACGGTTAGCATATTCGACGCGTAATTGAGCGATCCAGGATTCGAGTTCCGGCGAGGGCTTTGCACATTTTTCACGTCTCGAGCAACAAAATAACCTAATGATTCCACAACATATTCGTAAAACTTGAGCTGTTCTTATATGTTAATTACGGTTATTGTTATTGCCTTGAGAACTGTTATATTTATTTAAATGGGTACATAAATTCTCGAAATTTCTGGAAAAATGCAAGCTTAAAAGGATACAGTTTCCACAATTTGTTTTTTTAAACAGATATTAGATGATTTTGCTTTCGTTGTGTAAATTGTTCATATAAAAAATAAAACATGGATTTTTCGAATTTAGTGATTATTGGAGGAGGAAAAATGTGAGAAAAGTGGTTTCTTACCTTAGCTCTAGCTTCTCGTGCAGCTTCAGCTTCTGCCGCCATTGCTCTTTGTAGCTGAACAGGCAAGCGTACATCTTTGCTGTTAAAAAAATATTCGAGATTCTTCAAAGCCGAAAATAAAGTTTAGACAGAAACATAGAATTGAGTAACATTAACTAATAGTTACAATTAATGCAAGGCCAATAGTCGATATCAAAGTTCATATATTTCAGCTTCTTGTATACAATTTCTTTTTATATACAAGTTCTACTGATTTTATTAATTGATTAAGTCATATTTATATTCCTTGGCATTATTTATTCCTTACACTTTTTATTTATTCTTCTTCCTGATTGTGAATATAATATTTTAAAATCTTTATTTCCCAATTTTTATTTCAGTTAATTTATAATGCATTTTTAAATGCGTAAATTGTACAGCTACAGACGTATTTATACTATTAAAATTACACATGCGCGGAATACTATATATGATTTTATAATGCCTTTATGCCTATTTTTTGGACTGGTAAAAACTTCGTGTTGTAATGTTACGCAATAGTAACTGTAAGTTAGGAATTTAGTTATTCCTCATAGCCCGAGCAGTGTTTAATCAATGTGTAGGAAAGGAAACGGTTGCAATTAATTTATTAACGGTTGCAAGTTAGAATAACTTATAGGTTATTATTAAAGAAAAAAGTAACTAGGAACAAGGATATGCTTTGACCGAAACTTCTAGAGAAGTTCACTTTAATAATTAATGCGCATTCATAATGGTAAGAAAACTCTAAGAATTAGTGTTTCCAACGTCTATACTATTTCTATTTCAGAGAAAATACTGTCTGGTTGTAACAAACGTTTTGCGCCAGAAAATGATTTTAATAAAGTTAGAAAAAGACATGAAAGCAGAATTTTTAGTGCGTGTAGTAATCACAACCCATATCTATGACTTTTTTGTCAACGTTTTGGTAGTTTTTCAAAAACTTCGCCCGAGAAACTTGGTGGCCGCTCGTCCAAAAACATATCAACCTCGACTAGAAGAGAAACATGCTAATGTGACAATCAAAAATCGTAAAAACAACCTTGCATTTAGCGTAGGTATAATGAAACACTCAATCGATTTCGAGGGCAGCTAAAGGTCCCTCCTCATCAGGAGAAAGAAATACCTAGAAAGAAGAAAATAAAGGAGAAGGAGTCTCAGAAACACGTGGTCCTTATCAGCACTGCACGTGGTTATAACTGGATTTTTAATCAGAGTTGCACTGGCCGCCTACTTTTACTGAGCCAGGCTATCTGATCAAGCATAAAGGACAAGAAAAATTAGCGAAGTTAAAATAGGGAGCGAGCGGCAAATGCACCTTCACGCTCAAAATCTGAACTTCAAATAATGGAAAGCAACCTTCAAAATCTATTTGTGTTTCATTATACCTACGCTAAATACAAGGTTGTTTTTATGATTTGAATATCAACCTCATTTCGGACGTCATGCGCAGAATAGAAGATAGCACGCGCAAGATGCAGCTGCAGTTGTGAAAAAAGGTAGAAGACCGAAGGAGCGATGTTGGGGGTTATATGGTGGGTGTGACAAAAGATCGCATTTGAGTCCAGCCTGTAAATGTAGACAGAATGCCTGTTCGTACAGAATGAAGCCTGTGAATCCAGACACATGTGGTCTTGCATTATCTTGATGGGACATTACCATTTTTGGGCCCGAACTCAGATAGACGTTTTTCTTTTACAGCAGCGTCAACACGAACTAGCATCTCGCTGTACACCTTACTTACAGTGAGACCTTACCTTTTTCCAGATACGTTTTGTGAATAAATACCACGGCAATGCCGTCAGATGCAAAGCATGGTCTTTTGCTAGTCAAACTGCGCTTTGCGACGCTGCCGACAGGCTCACCGGGCGCAGATCAACCCACGTTTTGGCCTGTGTTTTTGAAGTAAATACACTTTTCATCCCAAGTGACTATCTTGTCCAGAATTTTGTCCTTGCGTTGATATTCCAGCAGCTTAGTGCAGGCCAAACACGTCTGTCATCATCTGCTTGAAATAGCCCATGTAGCACCCAGCGATTGAACTTGTACGTCAAGTTTATATGCAATGCATAGCACGAATAATGTACGTGGCACTAACATCTAACTCCTCAAAAAGCTCTCGACTGGCTGCATACTGATCTTCTTCCACAAGTTCTCGCTGGCGGGCCTCATCAACATCAGTAGGCCAGCCACTTGTTGCGCTCTACTTGTTGAATGTCATAATCCTTGTTTTTGAACTTATATATTGAACAGTACCAACCTTCACAGTGTCATATGATACAATAGAACCTAAAGTTGAACACATGATTTGGTGACATTTTGTTCCTGACGTTTTGCAACAGAACCGGAAGTAAATGAGGTTTCTGTCTGGTAACGTGGTAGTTCCACTTCAGAAGCCTTGTACATAATGATAACGATGTTTTTACAAATTTCACAACGCAGTGTTCTAAAGCAAGTCTCTTTCCTTCAAATGCCAAATATCATTTGACAAAATCTGATTAAACACTCCAACGCGAACTGTTTGCGGAGACGATATTTGCGGTGGCAGGAAAGATTCGTTAAAACCCGATATTAAATCGTTTAAATGAATAATTATTTTATATACAATTGGACAGAGTTGAAAACCTTCGCTCTCTTATTCTAAATATTATATAATCTGTAAGCTTAACAATTATTGTTTTAAAGGTTAAAAAGTGTCAACTTACATTTCAACTCGTTCTACCTTGATCCCCCAGCGGTCGGTAGCTTCGTCTAAGCAGTTCTGAAATAAAATATATATATATATATAAAAAAAAAAAAAATCAGTATATTAATATAAGAACTTCTAACACCTGTAATAAAAGGAACCTGAAATTTAAATTCAAAGCCGTGACAAACGTGAGGTGAATGAGGCACTTGCCTGCGGCACTCAAATAGTTGGGGCGCAAAACTGCAAGTAAATCATAAGAAATTAATTTTTTTAAGAACAAAAGGAACTTTTAAACATGAATTAATTTATTTCCTGTCTTTTTAAATATATAATATAGGCAACTGAACTTTACATTTTGTATATGATGTACAACAATATCGCAAAATAATTTAAAACAGCATATATTTAGAATTTTCGATATAGTCTCGATCATAGTAGAGTCTCGATCGCTGGAGATGCTGTCCTGGAGATCCATGTGCGTATCGTATGCTGTGTCCTACGTAATATAGACCAATTCCAATGGTTATGAAACTATAAAATTATTGCGACTGTAAAAATGTTAAATGTAATCCTGAAGTTTCGGCTTATCGAATCTCAACAGTAATTTCTTTCAGCAATAATTCAGTATCAATCTGCAAATAACGACTGCTTTTTAATCGTTTGAAAATTATACTCCGCATCCATACTGTGGCTAAACTATCTTCTTTTAAATTGCATTAGATAATTCCGAAAACATGCTTTTATGCTTTTATTTCAGCAATTACTGATAAGCTTAAAATTACCGTACTTACGAGGGTTGCTGTTTATATTTCTGGTCTAATAATGAAACAAAAAACGATAATTATGATAGAAATTTGTTTTATTGCTTTTCAAAATATTCTTCGTGAAGATCAATACACTTTTGCATACGTTTGAACTAATTTTCGAAGCACTTTTTCCACTCTGATTGAGGTAACTCCAAAACATGCGTTTTGAATGCATCAACTGCTTCTTCGGGTGTCACAAATCGCTGACCACGTAATTGATTTTGGATGAGCGGAAATTAAAAAACAGTCATTGTGTGCCAAATCAGGGCTATACGGCGGATGACCCATCAATTAGATGTTTTAGTCAGTCAAAAATTCCTCTGTTTGAGCCGATGTTCCACGAACAACTTTTGTTTGATTTGGCTCGTCTTGGAAGATCCATACAGTCGACTGCTATTTTAATTAGAGGTCATATTCATAAATCTATGATTCGTCACCTGTGTAGTTGTTATACACAGCCTATGATGCACCTTGAATGTATTTTTCGAACATTTAGTTGCACCAATCCAGCGTTTGTCACATCATGCGAGATTCAACGAGAAAAAATCTTTTTTACGGCCAAATATTCATCTAATATCTTATTGATGCTTGTCATACCGATGCTCAAAGATGTCTCAATCTCACGGTATGTCCCATGACGATGTTGGTTTATCAGTTTACGCACAGCATCGATATTTTCTGGCACAACAACCGGATTTGGAAGAACTTCACGTACCGTATTTGACGGCATATAAGACGCACCCTTATTTGGAAGGCCACACACAAGGAAAAAAAGTTTTAATAGTCCGCGCGACAGCACGGTACCACAATAACTTAAAATATGGTTTCTTTTAGTTCTCACGTTTCGTAAAAGCCAAATAAACAATCATTGAATGCAATTACCAAACATATTGGCTTTATCCGGGCTAAAAATAGCATTCAGTATTGAAAGTTGACTTGTGTCCTTCACGTATAAGACGCAGGTAAATTTTTTTGAGTCCAAATTTAGGAAACAAAGTGCGTCATATATGCCGTCAAATACGGTAATTCGTCCTGGAGCGAATATCGAGCAGGACTGAATTCGTTATACAAGTTTTTTACAGTGCTGGAGCTTTATCGCTGTCTAAAGAATTAAGTTCATCGAAGCACTCTCATATTGATAATCTAGGAAGTTATGAAAAATAATCGCACGAAAATTTCTCGAGTCAGTCTAGACACAAATCATGCTAAAATTGCAAAACTGTTGCTGTTGTTACATATGGCTTTATTGGAAAGATCAATCCAAACATATAAAACAGCTCAAGTATCACACAAGAGTAATGATAAATAATAAAAAAAGGCAAACATTTATAAAGAATCAGAATAAATGAACACGGGAACAAAAGTAAAAAGTTAAAATTTAAACAACAAGGAAAAGAACATAAGAGATGCAGTCTTTACAAGGAGTTCATGAAAGCTTTGGCATTCCATTATAGTAAATTGCAAAACTTTCTGAAGATGTTACGGTTAAAAATGTCAAACTTTCAGTTGGATTCGTCTGCCGTCGCCTTGTAACACTTACCGTTGCCAAAGCCAGAAATATAAATAGCTATCTTCGTATTAATAAAAAATACAGGCATTTAAAATCCAAAGATGCTCAGTCACAAATGAAGTTAATCGAAAGTATGCCGTATAAATTCAGGAAATCTTTTCGCTTACCTGCATTGTGTTTGAAATTGTTTCCCTGTCAGCAAGAATTTCATGCAGGTTATGAGTTCCAAGCATATTCCTGAGGGTAGTCTGGGCTAGCAAACGAGTACTGTGGTGTGCATTTTCAACATTTGCCACGGAGACGGTTGCATTGTGGACACGGTAGTAAACGACAGCATCTACCGATACAGTAACTGAATCTTTGGTCAATACCTGAAGTAGTTAAAATATATATATATATATAAATTTTTCTAACATATAATTTTAATGAAAATTTAAAGCATTTCGTTTTATGAATTTCCATAAACTTATTTTAAAGCGAAGAAATAATTCTCCGAGATTATTAGTTAAAATTATTTAGGTTGAAATGATTACTGGCCATTATTTCTCTTTAATAATTGCCTTTTATGGTTTTAAACTTCGGTACCATGAATTTTCAACCTGAAAAAATGATAAATTTAACTTAATATATTGATGAAATAATACCATTTATGTTTTACCCAGTATTATACATTGTATTTTATAATATAGTTTAAGCTGATGCAATATTCGCATTTTCGACAAGATGAATATTTATGTGTATTACCAAATTTTATACACAGAGAATATTTTGGAAGTTATTTTGCTAGACATTATTGAAAGATTTATGAAATCTGATTTTAAAATAATAAAGGTACCAGGTGTACAAGATTGAAATGGGGAACTTTTTTTTCTAAAAAGAACATGTTCAGTTCGGAAGAATGATAACATGTGCTTTATTCAGAGTATAATACATCGCCTGTTATACATATTTTCCACCTTTCGGGCAATTTGTGAATACCACGCCAATAAAAATCTTCCCCTTTTGCTGCAAACTATTCACCTAGCCCTTTTTCACATCTTCGTACGAACCAAAGCGCTGCTCAGCAAGTGAGTACATCGATACAAACAAGTGATAATCGGAAGGAACAAAGTCTGATGAGTAAGCCGCATGGTGTAGAACTTCCCAGCTGAGAGCTTCCAATGTGTCGCCAGCAGGTTTTGCCATATGTGATGGAGTATTGTCATGAAGAAAAATGACTTAGCGTTGCCATTTTCGTTATTCTGGCCTTTTTCCAAGCAGGGAACGGTTCAAATCGGTCAGTTGTTGTTGGTAACGTTTACTTATTAACCGTTTCTCCAGGTTTTTAACAGCTCATATTAGCCCACGCCCCTCTGGTCTAATTCAAACACAGAGCATTGTCTTTCTGCCAAAGCAATTCAGTCTTGCAGTCAATGTGGATGGTGGGCTTGGGTCTACCCATAATTTTTTGTGCTTAGGATTCTTAAAATAAATGCATTTTTTATCCCTTGTAACTACGGAATGCAAAAACGACTTCCTTTCTTACGAGCGAGCCAAATGTCACACTGTTTTTGAGTTTTTCCATTTGCCTGTTGTTCAACTAAAGATTCAGAAGACCGGTAGATGATGTGCCCATCTACCCGTCTTCTGAATCTTTACCATCTCTCGTAGCCAACTGAAAGCAGCTTGTTGACTAACTGCCAGTTGCTCGGCGAGTTGTTTATGTGTTTGAGAGTCATCTTCGTCCAACAATGCTTGTCATTCCAAATGTTCGTATTTTTTGGCGGTTTTCCATTTTCCTCGTCTGCAACATCAAAGTCACTACTTTTGATCCGTCGAAACCATCGTTCACACGTGTCTTGCGATGGAGCATGGCCATCATAAGCTTCTCGAAGTAATCGGTATGATTGAGCAGTTTTTTTTTTTTTTTTTTTTTTTTTTTTTCAAATGGAAACTCAAATGGAAAAAAAATGCTGTCCTCGAATGCTCTTTGTGTTCGTTATAAATTTCGACACATTGAACACAACACTATATGCATACACTTTTCCAATTTATCACTCGTGTGCGTCTGACACTTGTGGATGACACAATAAAATGCCGCAGTGTCAAATCTTTATAGCACAAACTGCATTGGTGGCCCATCTAATGTGTGAAATCCGCATTTCATACTTGTACACCGGGTATGCGTTTGGAAAATTTCAAAAAAAAAAAAAAAAAAAAAAAAAAAAAATTGGAAGCATTTAATTAATATATTAATTTCACATGGGACTTTCTTTTAAAAACTTTTGCATTGATATAAATTTAACTACCAGGAATTGTACCATATAACCGTATTTATTGATAAGAATGTAGGAGATATAACTTTCCCTTCTAGAGAATCAAAGCGTAAACTTAATAAATGTAACGAAGAATATTCTGCAAAGTCTAATTTTCTTAGGGAGCATACACTATGGACTGAGAAAAAAATTCTAGCCTTGTGAAACAAAACAAAAGTCAAACGAAGGGTTTGTATAAAACCCTCTTATTCGAACACAAACTTAACAATTACACAGCTTGGGTTTACATAAGCCAAGAAGAACTTCTGGTTTAACATAAATATGTAACGATGAACAAATTCAAAATGTGGTAGATTAGCCTAACGGCTCACATTATACTTTAATGCTCAGGCAAGACCAGCGAAACAAAGCTGAATGGCTAGAAGCACTCAACGACACTAAATCTAATAATCACGGTACAATGTGGCCTGGAATAGACAGACACTGTCGAAACTCTTACTTATATAACACTTCTTTTTACCTTAATCTGAATAAACTCTCGCTGTCTCATTTACATTTGGGCATGAAAAATGTGGATGAAAAGAGAAAAGAAAGTGCTAAGTTAAAATGAACTCTTAATTAAAAATAAATAGATAAGCCTCACAATCTTTAAAAACTATACTTGCCATTTATTAAAAATTGTCTTTATTAAAATGTTTAATTGGATAACGCAGTATTACTTCAAATACTAAGAGTAATAATAATTACTAAGTGAACTACTTAAAATAAAATTATTTTTGCTTTGTATAAATTTATTTATTGCATTCGTTTCTGAATATCTCTCAGTTTATTACTGTCTCTTAGAATAAAACTTTTTCTGAACTATTTTTCTTCATGATTTCTTCATGAGGAATTTATCACAGTTTTTTCGCTTCAATAAAACTTAACTGCATAGCATATTTGTTATTAAATTAAGTCCTTGAAACGCTTTGTATAATTTGGTTATTCCCAGAAAAAAATCCCGTTTAAACAATACCGCAGAATTTACTATGCCTGTGAACTCTTTGCTTGATTTGATTATTTCCCAGAACTCCTTTTTAAATAACACCAGAATTTACCAATCTGTTCAAAATTTAATAAAGGACTGAAAAATATAATACGAATCTCTTGAAAATAACGAATGGAAAATATCAAAACAAAGTATTCGATAGGAATAATCATGTTCTTACCTCTTGTGGAGGGACATCAAATGTCAGAGTTCGGAGATCTACTTTAGTATAGTTTTCAATGCATGGGAGGATGAAAAAAATTCCTGCAAAATGTGTTAAGTATTGTAGTTGCAAAGAATAATCTACTTGTAAGTTAATCAACATGAAAAACCTTCAACAACATATTAATTTACATAATTAAACTAAATTAGACTCAGTGGACTCTTAGAGAGTCATGGCCTGTAGTAACCTGATACCTGCTTTCTTGACCGTGGGCCCCGAGATGCATGAACTGGATGGGCCTGGAAAACTGGTCAGCTTGTCGTAGGACTCCCAGTCTTTACTCCCCAAGCGAACTTAATACTAATTTTATCGACCCACTCAAGCGATGAAAGGCTAAGTCAGCCTTGCCCAGTCCGGAGATCGAACCCGGACTTGCGGTGCTGATGCGTGACGCGCTAGCCACTGCGCCACCGGGCCTCAATTTGCATAATTAATCAGCATAAAAATTAAAATATTTTGATATTTACATATTCAAATTTTAGTACTAAATGTCTTGCCAAAAGTTTACAAATGTATGCAAATAAGGAGAATCTTTCGACTCTGCGTTTCATCATTGCATTTAAAACTAAAATTTAAATGTTCCGTTTTCCATGGGGTTATGATAAACATATCATAAGCATTATTTTAAGCATTTACTCTTCATAAACATAAAAAGAATTTTTTCAGATCTTTAACTGGTTACTATTTCCAGCTTGGTTTGTCCTGCATGGCAAAACATACAAGTTATTACTAAATAAACACAATTTACCCCACTTTTTAATTATTAATTTAGACTCTCCTTTATAACTTATTGTTATTCTTGAATACAATTATTTAGGCGATCTTGATATTGACATTTTCCTCATCCAACAAGTGAGAAACATTTTGCTTGCCTAAGGAATGGCCTTTATCTAATTTAATCAATTCAGATAACTTTTATGTTTATCTTTCAAATTGCCTTTGATTCCAACAATAAAAGACATAATAATAATTTTAAATATTTTGCTCTCAAAAGATTTTATCCCTGATTTTAAACCCCAAGGGAATTCCTTTATCCTTGATTCCTTGAAGATCTTCAGGTCATGAAATGAAACTTGCATTTGGAATAAATTCTTAAATTTTTCATCTTTAAGTTAGTGTTGTTATTAATGCTGATATTTATCAAATATACTTGCTCATATTTTTATTAATGTTGATTTTTATTTTCATGCCATATACATATCAACATTCAAAGAGATGTTTCACTAAAAATGTATCTTTAATGACTGCTCGTTATTAAGTTTATAAACAAAAATTACAAATTAAAAACACTGTTCGTCTGTGCTATTCCATCAGCAGATCAGCAGATGATAATGATCTGTAACTTCTATATTATTCTCAAACGCCCTTTTAGCTGTTATTGACCTTACAGCCCTCCTGTTGTAATCAACAAATCTAACAGTCATTTGTAATCAGCAAAGCAAGAAAAAAGTAATTCATCTCATCTGCAGCGCAGAGAGTAAATTTTTTACTACAGATTCTTGAATTTTCATTTTAATGTTTGCTAGTCGTAATGTTCTTTTTACTTTCCGTATTGTGAAGTTATAATTAACCTTTTCAAAGCGTTTTTTGTTCACAATTTCTAATTTCTTCCATTTTTCAAACTTTTTTTACTGTTGTGAACAATTACGTACATATTTTTTCCTCAAAATTTTTTAAATGAAAATTTTGGTTTCTGAATTATATTTCATTGAAAACGTTTAGATTCATAAATTTTTAATTAAAAAACTATGAAATTTTAATAGTTATTATTTTAAACACGCTGTAATACACATTTTAAACTTCCTTTTTTATCCTAAACGAGTTTTGTTTTCCAAATTTTATATTTTTATTCAAAACTCATTTTGATTTATTATCGAACTTTAAACATAGTATTCAATATTTTAATGTGTAAAAATATTTAATTTTAAATAAATCGTCCACTTTAAACGTTGATACAAGGTTAACAGTACTGAAGTATGTAATTATAACATAAAAAGAACCATAAAAAGGTAATAAGTAAAATTACCTGGTCCTTTAGATCCTCCATGCAGCAGTCGACCAAGACGGAATATAACAGCACGCTCATATTCTTGTACAACCTATTATAATAATTTTACAGTTACCAATTATTTTTACCAATTATTTTTACCAATCATTTTTACATCTTAATAAATAGATAAAGCTAAAGCAATACGGACAAAGAAAAACGAAAACATTTCGACGCATTCTTTTTTATAGTATAAGCGTTCGTTTTACTTGCTTTGCACGTGATGTTGTCATTTCGTCTGTTGCTTATTCAAAATTTTCATATTATTCTATGTCTTAAAATTAGAAATTAAAATTAATGACCTAAAACTGCAATAGTGTGTTACAGTACAAGTGACAAAATTAACAGTTTAACTCACGCGTGTGTCGGATTTGCGCAGTGCTTATGGGGTCCCAGAAAATTTTCATAAATATTATGGGGTCCTGGGGTCGCAAAAAAAAAAAAAATTCTCAGTAATAAAAAGATGTCGCCACTGAAAAAGGTTTAAGAAGCTCTGTTCTAAACTTTTATATTTTCTAATGCGAACACTTTTTAATATTTTTAAAGCTGTTAAACTCGGACAATTTTACAAGAATGAATTCTATTATACTTCTTTGTACGAAGTAAAGTCTTGTAATCTCGGAAACTTTCGGGTATCATATTTCAACGAAAATATCCATTCGTAAACTCTGTATTTACCTCACATAACTCAAAAACGATTAGCTGTAGAACGTTAAAATTTTGTATGTAGGACTGCTATTATATCTAGTTATGAACTTCCCCTTTTTTGTTGCAGTCAGCCGCACCAAACATATATATCTATATATATATATATAGATATATATAGATATATATATATATATATATATATATATATATATATATATATATATAGATATATATAGATATATATATATATACATATACACCCTGTTGGCCGCCTCGGTGAGTTATTTTTCTTTATTCTATGTTAGCAAATTGTGCATTTTTTACTTTAAAACTGATTTAATTATGTCGTCATCATGTTATAGGGATTAAGATTTGTATGCCTTTAGTTAATCTGCATTCAATATTTGTACAATTATGAGCAATTTAAAAAGTGGCTATAGGGATAATGAGGTAATCATTTGTTAACATTTGAAATCCTTTTAAATAGTTAATTCAGTCAGTTGGTGCACAAACTTCAGTGTCGTTTTGTCCAGTGGGACAGAAAGTCAACTTTCTATTTTTTGAATCAAAAATTTGTCTTCCTGCCCGCTGACAAAATTGCTTGGTGTTGCCGAGAAATGATAATTTTATTTGTAAATATTGTTTTTTAATTGTTTTTAAGTGTGTTTGGTGTTTTAGGTTTTTCTGTATTTTACAATTTTTAATGAAGATGATTTGAGTTTTTATGTATTTTTGCCTTCCCGTGAAGTAAGAAATGAATTGATTGAACGAGAAATATATCTAATAAAATTTGAGGTAATAAGTTTAGATGAAGAGCAGCAAAAAATATGTATAATTTTATATAAACTGTACAAGGAATTCATGTAGTATCTCCATCAGATTTTTTTCAAATTTAATTTAGTCGGTATAGTTGTCAGGAAAGCTGACTGCGATGACGAAGGGCCTGGGTTCGAATCCCGGAGAAGGCATGGCTGTAACTGTCGTCCCTTCATAGGAAAGGTGATGGTGGTCCACCTATTAGGTCCCTCCATAAGAAAGACACCAGCACATCTGGCCTCGTATAGATTAAATAGACTGGGTTACATTAGTAATTGTTCACAATCTGCCATTGTAAAAAAAAAAAAAAAAAAAAAAAAAAAAAAAAAAAAAAAAAATCGTAGAAGATTTATTTAATTAACTTATATTTAATTAAATTATATGTTTTTACGAGAATTTTTCGCATTGATTGTGTTTAACAACTGTATGCTAATCGATTGAGAATTAATTAAACGATTTGGTATAGTTCTATGACCAGCGCAAAGAATCCTATTCTGTCCAATTAGGACATAAAACATATAGGAAACTCATCCTATTTACGAGAGTGAAAGGATGTTTATGCCCATCGACCAAGCAATTCTACCTAATCGATATAACGGAAATACGTTATTGACAGTTTCCTGCATAAACAGAAAAAGCATTAAGACAATTGTTCAGTTCTTTTAGGCCTTGCATGCTGAAAACACCTTTTATACGACAGACGGTTTCGATTGAAAAGAAAAATCGACCACTTCGATGTAAAAGAAACAAATCAAGCGAAACAGATGAGACTTCAGTAGCATTGCTGATTGTTGATATCGATCGATTTACCACGAAAAGCAGGCACGCAAGCATTAGACGCTATTGAGATGAAGTACCATTTAGGATGTGTTGTTAACAGGCAATCTATAATGGTGACGAGATTTGAGTTTTAAAACAAAAGTTTCTTTTCGAAAATGCATGTCATGCTTGTGTGAGAGGCAAAATGCCAGGTTATTGAAATTATTAATACAAGAATTTTAAAACATAACCGTATTGCTTTGACACTTTATACCGTTTGCTATATGGAAATTGGGATTTTTTTCGTGAATTAGTTAAATTAGGTTATTAACATTTTTCATGGTATTCGTTAAAGGAAAAACAACAGCAGTACTCTAAAGATTGGTAATAACCGACACTGTTATCAGTGCTTTAAAATATTCCAGTTCATTTACCTTTGACACTAATTTATCTTTTGATACAATTTTTGCAATGAAAAATTACAACAAATGTAAAAACAAATCTCCGTGATGGAGACTAGGTCAAAATTAATTTCGGATTTCCACGCAGTATTTTTAAAACTTCAAAACAAATAAATAGATAAATAAAATCTGAAAGTTTCCAGATTTTATGTTACGCCCAAAGGGGCGTTTTTTATTTACATAAATTTTCCTTTACATTTTCATTACATACATTTTTCATTTACTAAACTTAATGCAGAAGCTCACTAAAACTGAAGGTAGAAAGGTGCGTGCATTTATAAACCGTTTATGTTATGTTTAAGTATAAATCGGAAAGAACTTAATTTTTTTATTATTATTTGAAAATTGAATTCTAAGATGGCTTATTTGGCAAGGGGCAAGAAATCTGATTAAAAAAAAAAAAACTTGCCTTGGAACTTGATGTAGATATCCCTTCTGATAATAAAATTGTAGGCTAAAGGGATATGATTTTGAATAGTAAGAAGTATAACGAAGACTTTACTAAACAAATGCTAGATAGAATTATGTGTGATCGTTTAGACACGGAAAAGTTAGAAATTTTAGAGAAAGATAAGCAAAGAACATTTTAACTCGAAAAGGAAAAGATGGAACTTTTAGAAAAAGATAAGCAAAGAGCATTTGAACTTGAAAAACTGAAAATAGAAGCGGAGATCAGAAGAATTAGAAAAAGATAAGCAAAGAGCATTTGAACTTGAGAAATTGAAAACAGAAGCGGAGATCAGAAGTAGTAATGTAAATGATTCTGTTCCTTCTAATGTTAGTAAAAGTAATATTTGTGATATGAGTAAATTAATGCATAAGTATGATTTGAATGAATGTGATATAAGTTTTTATTTAGTCTTATCTGAGAGACAGGTACGACGTATTGGGTTAGAAGAACAAAATTGGGTTTCTCAGCTGTTGGGTCTATTGCCTTATGAAATAACTCAATTAATTTCCCGTGAATCCAAACATAAAGCTAACGACTATAAGCACGTTAAACAACTGCTACTGAGAAAATTTAAGTTAAGCGTTGGCCAGTTTCGTCAAAAGTTCGTTGATCATATTAAAACGTTACGTAATACGTGGACAGATTTCACGTTTGAATTAAAACATTATTTTGAAGAGTGGCTTGTTGGATTAAATGTCACACATTTTGATTCTTTAAAACAACTTATTATTACGCATCAATTAAAGAAAAGTGTCCCCGCTGCTATACGAGATCATTTCATTGATGATTGGTCTAAATTCATTAATCCTGTAGAGTTGGCTGAAAAACTAGATGCATATGAAAATATTCGATCAGGGATAAAAGTACTTCAAGCAGAAAACAAAACTTTTAAGCATAATCCTAAGCCTAAATTTGGTTCTAAATTTTCTGAGAGATCCTATAATCAGTATTCAAGACCCAGAAATGTTAACGATTCTATGCAGACAGATGGTAATTTCAAAATGGGTTTTAAAAACAATTTTGATAATAAATACAATTTGAGAGATAAATTTTATAAAATAGACGATAGGAAAAGGGAATATAATTCTGGTGTCCGCAATGAAAAGGATAACCTGAAATGCTTCATTTGTAATGATTATAGACATATAGCGACGGAATGTCCCCCCCAAAAAAAAATTATTTGCAGGAAATGTAATGAAAAGGGTCATACTTTTAAAAAGTGTACGTCTAAGAGCTCAGACTTGAAAAGTGTTAAAAATAATTTATTTGTGGAAAAGAATTCAGATTTTTCACCAACTAAAGTATGCTCTCATCAATAATCGAGAAGAAATTACTTCAATCATAGATACGGGTTCTAGTTCGTGTTTATTGAAACAGTCTGCGGCTAAGAAACTGAATCTTATTATAAAACCTGATGTGGAGGAATTTTTTGGCTTTGGAAACCAGAGTAAACCAGCCGCTAGAACATTGGGAAAGTAACTGTTAATTTAGAGATTGATAATGTGGAAAGAAAGGACATTACAGTTCTAATTGTAGGAGATGAAACGTAACCGGGCGACTTATTAGTTGGTCGAACATGGATTGATTTTCCATATATTGCATACGCTAAAATAGGTAATACCTTGCACATACGCTATGCTAATGATTGTCGATTTTCACAGTTGCAAAATGATATCAACACTCCGCGAATGAAACTGAAGGCTTCCCAAGAAACTGAAATCGATAGTAATACGGTTAATTTCGTGTAAGTAATGAAGAAAATAACGGTTATGTTTTAATAAGTGGATCGGAAGATGAGTTGGGCTCATTATTGGAAGTAATACAGGGAGAAACAGTGATTCCAGTCACTAACTACAGCGATCGAAAATTAATTTTGAAAGAGAATGTATCGGTAGAGCGGAAGTAGCAGAATTAGTT